ACGAGCCACTGCATCTCTCTTCAGACCTTCTTTGCAAAGGCACATTCCAGAAGCAGATGTGTGACAGTCTCTTGCCCTCCACAACCACTTTGAGGGTAGCACACTGTGGCGCACACACAAGGATCTGACAAGCAGTGCTGTTCTCACCACCAGCCAAGCTACGTCTTAGTGCTTGTTCGAAAGTTGTGGTGATGAGGGAGTCTGCCCAATGACCTTGACAGTCTGCTCAGCAAACCAAGATCTGCACCCCCCTTCTTCCTGCCGGGTCTCGAGGATGCTATGTGATGACCACTTGCTGGTGGACTTGTGGTCAATGATGTATCTGTTTGCAAAATTTTCCTTGAAGGATAGGTGATACGGAAAGCTCCAAGTGCTTGGTGTCTTCCATGGCACCAAGGCTAGAGCCATCCTTCGCAATACCTGGGACAGTTAGAACCTCAGTACGTAGTGACACTTGGTGGAGCTCAGGCTGGTTCTTTGTGTCTCCTGTTATTTTAGGTCAGGTGCTGTTGTCACTGGCTTTTGATGGATGAGCCATCACAATCAGTGAACTAACCAGAAAAACTGTCTACATGATTGATTTCAAAATAAGCAGTGTAATAAACAGCAATTTACTCTGTATGTTATGTGCCTCCTCTCGGAAAGACAGAGTATAGGCAGCTTTATTTTGAACTTAAGTTTTGTTGTACCTACGTTGGCAGGGCTTGATGGGACAGGGTAGAAGCAGTTTTATTCTACAGTGAACTTGTGTTCTTCTTTTCCTCGGAATGTTTCACGAAGACCATGTAAAAGGCTTTTCACTTTGTATTCAGCTTGTATTGTAACTGCCTGGCAGCATCAGATGGGACAGTGTTGAGGCAGCTTTATTCTAGCCAATCCAGTGGTGTACTTTGCCTTGAGAGTTTGTGTTGGTATAGTGCAGAGGGATTTGACTCTGTCGCTGTCCTGAGCTGCATATGATCTAAGAGTGATTAATATTGACTCTGAAATGAAATATGTTTCATCCTCAACATTAACATTTCTGACTGAGGAGCACAGCGGAATATCAAAAATACAAACTGAAAATGAGTAAAGCCAATGATTTTTAATGGATCTAATGAGCAGTTTCATGATGGCGACCTCTCTTAGGCAATGTCTCCTTAGAATCCAAACAAGCTGTCAAATATGTAAAAATATGGTGTTGCCGTGGAGACTCCCTTCAAAGGGCGCCAGCTCTCTGCTGCTGCTGCTTCTGTTACCTTCAATATGTTCAACTGTAATGGGAGAAAAGCACAGTTTATAACAAAAAGGCCTCATATGATCAGGCAGACATATGTCTTCTGAGACAGATGAGAAACAGCTATAAGCAAGTCGCTATCAGCACCACATTTCTCTGATATTGCCTGGGTAACATTCATATGTTTTGCACCAATAGTAATATCAGTAAATTCACATAATGCAGTCATTACCAGATTGCTGTTTTTTAGAGATTGCTGTGCACAAATTATCTCTATTTTCTATTTTATAACAGCAATAACTGTTGAGAAACAAGCAATATTTTGTGTCTATGTTATGTTTTGTATATCCTGTGGTTGTGAAAAGGACAAGATAAATTGAAGTCTTTTTATATTATTCTGAATTTGCAAGGTATTTGTATTTTTGACCTTTCTTGTGAAATTGACTAGTGAACAGTGATCAATGGTGTCCAGAACCAGGAAGTCAGAGGGGTTGACCTGAAACCAGCAGTCTTCCCTACTGGCCAATTTTCCCAGCTGCTCCCTGTTGGACCGAAGCACTCTGACTATCTTCATATGGATGTGCTGAGTTCACTGTTCTGGTGTCAGGTTAGAATGAGGGTTGTATTTGTGTCTCACCATTCCAAAAGTGGACAGGAGAATAATTAACCATGATCCATGCTCTGTTCCTGTTTGCCCGAAACGTCTGTGGAAGTTGAGTTTCCTTTGGCTGTCTTAGTGTTCAATTCAATGCAGTAAGCTAAAATTCAACATGTTTCTTCATGCTGAGGTTTATCATTGGGTACCAGAGGACGACTGATTCCTGTAGAACAAGACAGAGCCAGGATCTGTACTTTGAGGAGAACATTCAGTGCAAAGGCACATTCAGTGTCATATAACTTCATTAATTCCAAAATATATTCACTTTACAAAGTGTTCATTGACATTTGGCATGCAGACATCCATGCAGTATACAAACTTTACTCAGACGTTTGAATTCTAAGTACATTCAATATATGTGTCCAGTGTAATGTATATTTTGTTTGGAGAACACTGTGGATCATGCACATGCAATACTGAATGGTTAGTTGAATGCTGAGTACTTCCGCATGTGATTAATTTCATATTTTGTCCCTCAGTTTACATTGTGTTTGGTGACAATACATAGTGCACCTTTGTACCACTGAGTATATTGATTTTACAAGAGAGAATCAGTGTAAGTATTTTCTGTGCAATGTGTATTCAATGTATGGTTGTTGAAAGGGGACGATTTTTGGTGTATTGTACATTTCTTTACACCAAACACCATGGTGTTTGCTTCAAAAAAGCTACTCTTGCTATGTTCTTTCTGCCCAGTTGTTTAAATGTAATATCTTGCTTCCCCCCAAGCCTCAATGCATTGTTCTCTCCCAGCTTTGTACTCACCTTTCCTAAGATGTCCTTTCAAAACCTTTTCAGTACCATTGCTCACTGCGTGTCAAGCCCATTCTAGCTCAGATCACCTGTTGCATTTTCTATAACTGTAGTGTGTGATGAAGTCAAATTCTTAGAAGCTGTTATGTTTGAAGTTTTAATTTTTTTTTGTCCTTTCGTGCAAAGTAAAATAGAGTGGAGAGGGCCATGTGTCTTACAAGCCCATGTGACCTGTGTTGCCATGTTTACAGGCCTTATTTGACAGCCTGTCGAAAGTACGGTACTAACTTCTAACACCTGGAGACAAAGGAACCAGCAGCTGAACTTTTTGTTGTGACATTTATTCTTTTTCAGATCCTGAATATAGAAAGAGGAAGAAAGGTAGTTGTTGCGAAGACTTGAGGGGAAGGTTGCTCTCTCTTTACAACTACGTAGAATGCCTGTGGGAGCTTCTTGTAGGATTTGAGAGGTGGGACATGTGGTCATGTGAGAATATTGAAGGATTTGTGTTTGTATGCCTTGAAGAAGCTGTCATCGCAGTGGGCCCCCCAACTAGAAATTGGTTTGGAACTTTATTGGAACCGTAAAGTGAAAACCTGAAACCATCATTGGACTTTAACAGAGTGAGACTGGAGGATATGAGTGTTCTGGAGTAATTCTAGACTGATTTCTTTGGCAATAGAATTTTGTGGTCAATGCAATCTCGGGCATTTGTACAGCCCAAGGCTTTAGATCTTACAAGGCAGTTAATGGACCAAGTGGATAGCTTTGTTGATTCATTTATTGTCATGTATGTTGAAGTACAATGAAAAGCTTTGTCTATGAGCAGTAACAGGCGGATCATAGTAAGCAAGGATGTACAGATCAGAGGTTGTAAAAACACCTAGACAGAGGCATACAGGTTATATTGCACAGGACGTACGTTAGGCGAGATCAACATTAGCAAGATCAGCATTATTTGAGGCTAGAGAGTCCATTCATCAGTCTAATAATGGCTGGGAAGAACCTGTTCCTGAAACTGCTGGTGCGTGTGTTCAGGCTTCCATATCTTCTGCCTAACAGAAGAGGTTGTAGGAGATCATTACCGGGGTGCAATGGGTCTTTGATGTTGGCCGCTTTTCTGCGGCAGCGAGCCGTGTAAATGAAGTCTATGGATGGAAGGTTGGCTTCCATGATGGTCTGGGTTGTGCACACCACCTTCTGTAGTTTCTTATGGTCCTGGGCAGAGCAGTTGCCGTACCAGGCCATTATGCACCTGGACAGAATGCTTACAATAGTGCATCTGTAGAAGTTGGTGAGGGTCCTTATGGACATGCCAAATTTCCTGAGCAGCCTGAGGAAAAAGAGGCGTTGTTGTGCCTTCTTGACTGTCGAATCTACATGGGAAGTCCAGGACAGGTTGTTGGTTATCGTCACTCTGAAGAACTTGACACTTTCCACCCGCAGAACCTCTGTTCCGTTGATGTAGCTGGGTTTAGTGCCAACTAAGTAATGAGTTTAGTCCTGGTTTGTTTTAGCAAGAGTTTTGACGTGTTAAATATCACCATGTGAATGTTGTGAGTGGGTATGGTGGAATTCGAATCTTTACAATAGTTGTTGGTCTTTATAGGGATCACAACAGATGCACTTGTTTCACCTTATCTTCAATTTGTGTACCTGTATGACATAGTCAGCCATTGTCTGTCTGGAAATCCCTCTCATTTTTTTGTTCCCAATGCATGGGGACCACCCTAACTTCGTTTTATTCTGTTATTCACATGGCTAAGTGCTGTTTACTGTTGCCCCAACATGGCTAGCTTCAGCTATTTGCTTCTTGTGAAAATGAAGACTTCAAACCGAGAAGTCAGCTTGATCTTGTGCATTGGGGTAGTTGTGATTCTGTACCTTGAATTAGACTCTGCAGTATAAAAACAAGCCATTCAGCCCCACTCCCCTGTGTTTCCCATTTTGTCCTGTTGCATGTAGCAGACAGCGGGGTTGTATTTCGAGACAACAAGGTGCACGGCTGGATGAACACAGCAGGTTGGCCTGCTGTGTTCATCCAGCCCTGCACCTTGTTGTCTCGGATTCTCCAGCATCTGCAGTTCCTACTATCTCGGGGTTATATTTCGGTTGTTTTTGGGCTTTTCTTTTGCATATCACATCAAAGGGTTGTAGTGTTGCTGGGGAGTCGAAAAATGAGCTTTGAAAGCCAAACTATTGACGTAGCTTTTTTAATGGTCTATGTCTGGTATTTCAACTGAAAAGAACTGTACGACTTCAGTGCACAGTTCTGTGTAACAGAACGCATGCCTGAATGTTGAAAACCTGTTAATGGCTGTGTGTCTATCAATAAGCTGCTGTTTAACTGTTTTGCCGTTTCTGCTTGTACACTCTAAGCGTAGCCCTTGCTGTGTCTTCGTTCAATGAGCTAACATTTAACCTTTCTAATCATCAAGTGTTCGCGTTTAACGTTCAAACCCTCCCTTCTCGGGCTTGCCACTAACTCCGGTCTGTCAAATGACTAAACTTCTCTCTTTCTGAGCTGTCCTTTTGCTGCACTTAAATCTCAGAGTTGGGGAGACAGCAGTCCAGATGGCTGACCGATCGCATTTGAAAATGTGAAGAGTGTGCAGATTTGAAGGGAGTGGGGAAATGGAGACTGTCAAATGATAACGCGGTGACGGGGGAGCCGATATTTATTTTTCAATAAATGCCATCAGTCCAGAAATCTTTTCTGTTGGGATATTGCCTTTGCTGAGCTAAGTGAGGTCATTGTTGCATAAAACAAAGAACCCAGCCATTCTGATCTGCAGAAGTGTATTTACTCTTTGCATTCGTGCTGTCAGGAGCCGGGAGAGTCACTTGAGACAGAGTATTTTGAGCGGTGGGACCTAGTATCTTATTTAGAAAGGGAATTGCCGAAACACTCGGAAAATGCAGGAAGAGGAGACAGCAAGGACTGAAGACGCTGGAAGCCAGAGTCAACAAATGTGAAGCACAGTAGGTCAGACAGCCTCAGAGGAGCAGCAAAGTCATGGTTTCGGACCGAAATCCAGAGCTTTAAAGTGGCGATCGAGTGGATTGTAATTTTGAGCCGGTACGTTCTGGACGGGCTGAATGGCCACGCTTTGTATTGTGAAGTTCCATTGTCGTAGTCCTGCCTGTAGATGGGCGTGTCGGTCACTGTTGATTGAGATGCTGTGATTCTGTACGGTAGCGTGACACAGAGCCCATGTTTACTCAGAGTGTACGGGAGCCTTTTGCCGCTCGCGTATGTAGATATTTGTGATTGTATGTCTCTGTGTCTCTCTCTCTCTTTCTCTACACATTGGCTGTACTGCCTCTTTAAATGGGCGCGTCAGTGTGTAGGCAGGATTAGAGGCTGCGCGGGGCTTAACCAGAACAAGTTTGGTGGGGGGAAAAAAAAGGGAATTGTACTGCTTGGGAAGAAACGGTTTTTGTTGTATGGCCGAGCTGTGTAAAAATATACGTGTTTCCCGAGAGAAGGATGAGTAGAGAGACAGAGCGAAACAGTCGCTTTTTGCAAGATTTTAGCGAGTAAACAATAGAGCTTTAAACATCTGGTCATTTTCAGCCTCAAAGTGACGGGCTGTACATCATATCTCTCTCTCCCTGGCTTTACTCCTCCCTCTCCACTCCCGCTTCCCGATTTCCAGCCGGACCTTCACCCAAGATCTCCACTCGATGCAGCTCCTTTGGATGGAAGTTCACTGAAAAAGAGGGACTGCTCGCTGGGATCCTGAAGGAGCGACACTTGTGATCCGGGGTAAGGAGAGTCTCCAGTGGCATTGCAATCCAATCCGTGGTACAAACCCCCGGGTCATTGTGTTACCACATTTGTGACTCGTCAGATATTTTGTAGCAAACCCCGGGGCAGTGGCGGTTACAGTCAAGATTAGTGCCTTGTGTACTTTGAGAAATTTGCAGTCCAGTTTTCGTTCGAACCCCGTTTCCCCCTCCCCCAGTTAATGGGAATAGAAATTGTCACGAAGCCGAATCCGACCCGATGCCTTTCATTGGCCCAGGACAATGAAACGAGCAATGGGCGAGACTGCTTCATTCACAGAGCTGGGCTCGAAGGGGAAAAAGCACAGTATACCTTGGGGCTACTGCCACATAGGCTGTAGGTTTATACATTTTACCTGAAAATTTGTTGGGTTTTTTATGGGTTTGTTTTAAAAGCAAATTTAATTAGATTTTTATTGACGACTACCTGGTGCCGTATTGTGTGCAAACACCTCGCTTACCCCCCGCCCCGTTGAGAAGGTCCAGATGCTGGGACCACCGCTTTGTTCTTTGCGCCTTTGGCAATTCTTGTGCTTATTTTAAAAAATGGGGAGCGCCGACCGATCGCATTTGAAAATGTGAAGTGTGTGCAGATTTGAAGGGAGTGGGTAAATGGAGACTGTCAAATGATAAACGCGGTGACGGGGGAGTCGATATTTATTTTTCAAATATCGATTTAATCCACTTAATAGCGGCTGGAAGCGTATGCTGGGCAAGAGCTTCCGCAAAAAGAAGCTCCCAGTCTCGGTTTGTTGAATGCTGGACCTTGTTATGAGTGCAGTGTGTTTCGTTAGTGATGTACACAATGGTTCTAAATTCTGAGATACAATAACACAGGATTCATTTCCTGGAACACAGTCTGAAATTGCTGGAAAATCTGAGCAGATCTGGTAGCGTCTGTGGAGAGGAAAGAGTTAAACAGTGACCCTCGTTCAGAACTGTTCTTCCAGCAATTTCTGTGTTTTTTGTCTGTTTCAGAAGTATCCAGTATTCTCAGTTAGCTTTTTATAGTGAATTTCTTGCCCTCCCGCTGAGTTTTGTTTGACCAAGATATTTATGAGATTGAAGACTTTGTTTGTTAGAGGTTATTGATGTGGCAGGCGGAATGGCGCGATGTGCTGGAGGAGGATCTTTGTAACTTGAGTCGGTGTATTTTTTTTCAAACTGAAGCAACTTAATTTAAAGGGGCAGTGTTGGGAGCCAGCTGCAAGTCCCTGCAGCTGTGCGAGGATTTGTGGAGTTGGGGCTCATTTTGTTTCTTGCCATTTATGCCACACAGCACTAACCTTTCTCAGGCTTACGGCAAGTTGGATATATAAACTGGGTCAAGTATAACGTGCTGCATCCTCATAAAGCTTTGTTTGTATCCCAGGCCATAAAAATATAAGTGGAAGCAGGTGTTGGGTCTCTGAAGCCTATCCTGCAATTCACAACAATGAGGGCTAATCTGATATTGCTCACATCCACTTTGTTGCGTTTTCCCCATAACCGATGATTCCTGTGCTGATCAATAATGGATTTAAATACACACAAGGAATCAACCACGCAGTTCTGGGGCAAGGAGTTCCAAAGACACTCGGCTCTCCAGAAATCCATCCTCATCTCTGTTTATTGGCACCCCTTATTTCTGAGTCTATATGCTCTGGTCTTTGACTTCCCAAGAGGGGGGCATGCTCTCACCATTTAGCCTGCCAAGCCCCCTCAGAATCCTATGTTTCCATGAGATCACCTCATAATGATCAACTCCAGTGAGCAGAGTCCCAATCTGTTTAACCTTTGCTCGTAAGACAATGCCTCCATACCAGGCATCGTCTTAGTGAAGCTGTTTGAACTGCCTCCAATGAAATGACCTTTCGTTTTAAATAAGGGGATGAAAAGTGTTGACAGTACTCCAGATGTGGTCTCGCCACCTTGTACAGTTTCACTAAGATGTCCTGACTGTTGTACACCAACCCCCTTGAAGTAAGGGCCAACATACCATTAGCCTTCCTACTTAACTTGCTGCTGTTAGCTAACTTGGTTTCATGCATAATTACTCCAAGTCCCTTTGTGTTGCCGATTTTCTGCAGTTTTTCTCCACTCAAATAAATAGTACCCTTCTAAAAAGGACAACTTTTGCTTCTCTCTCATTATACTCCAAATGGCAACTTTTTGCTTCTTTAACCTGTTAATATCTCTTTATAAACTGTTTATATCCCTCTCTCAACCTGCCTGTTTTTGTCACCTGCAAGTTAGGCTACAGTACATTGGCTTCCTCCGTCTGAGTCATAAAAATATATTGTAAAGAATTGAGGTCCCAGTACTGAGCCTGTGGAATGCCAGTGTTTATGGGTCACCAGCCTGACAAACCACCCCTTATCCCTAAATAGTATTTGCTACCCATGAACCAGACCTGTATACATGCCAACATAGCACCACTACCACCACCACCACTAACTGGCCTTGACTGCCTCTTGGGTCAGATCCCACTGTGTGCACCCAAGTAGGTGCCAAGTGAATGTGTGTGAAAAAAGTAAGCTGACCTGAGATACATACTGTTTAGATGCATGATAGGTGGTTGTCCCTGCTTGCGAAGTGACGTGACAGTAACATTGCACTGTAGGGTGTTGGTGAGCTCAAATGCAGTATTGAAGTGCTGAACAGTAATAAGTGAATACAGTGTGCCTTGATGTGGTAACGTTGTGTCTTTACCAATACTAACCCCCGTGGATGAGGGCAAGTGAGCAATGGCAAAGCTTTGGCAGTTGTACTTTGTTTCCCATAAGAATCAAGATTCTTTCATGACCACTGTTGGTATTTATAAATATTATGGTCCCTATGATATGTTAGGGCTGGGGAGGGGACAGATTTTGACGATGGTGGGTGTATATCATGGGTGAAGCAAGCAAAAGAGACAAATGAATGAGCGTGTCAGAGAGGAGGGGGAAGGGCATGCTTGTGTGTGAGGGGCCGGGGGGGGGGGTTTGGATGCAGAGTTCGGCTTGGGGGCCTGTGTGTATTTTCTATTGAAAGATTGTTCCTGGAAGTACCCTGTTGATTTTCAAATTGCGCAGAAGAAAATTGTGCTCTAAATGCAGGCACACATCAGTTCCTGACGGTGCTCAGAGAAGCTATTCAGTAACATGACGCAGAATCACTGTTTATATAATTGGCACAGCCGGGGCTACACAGGATCACTGGCAGGGACTGTGTTCCAAAATACTCAGTATGTATGCGTCATTAATTCAACCCTGTTATTGCTTCCTTGTATGAGAAATAAAGACGCGGCAGGTATTAACTGCCATAAGTCTTGTACTTGAACAAACTGAGTTTTGAACTCCCCTTGTCTTATTGTAGTACATTGCTAGTTCAACTTTTGTCTGCTGATACTGGTAGAATACACAAAATTGGTCTTTCTGACAATGTGTAATGCTTGGTGCATCATGTTTTGACTGTACCAGGGTTCACAAGTGTAATTCATTCTTAGTTAATTTCTTATTGTTCATGACGTTTGTGATCTCCTCCTGCACTTTGTTTTCCACCCATCTTGATGGTATTTGTGTGCTTTGCACCAAACCTTTCTGCATGCCAACCATTATGTTCATCCCACCCAAGTTCTGGTAATAGGCTCCAGAAGCAGATTTTGCACCACTTGTCATTGTCAGATCAGCATTTGTCCTCTGGTCCCGTTTGCTGATTGCAGAAGCAGTTGTATTTGTGAGGGAAGTGTGCTTGGGATTGGACAGCACAGTGCAGTATTTGTCCAGGGTGTTGGGGACTGTGTGTGTAATCAGTTGGTCCAACACAATAGGAGCCCATTTGACCCATGGATCACATGCCAGCTTTATATTGATCACTTTTCTCTCACACCCAGTCCAAGTCTATGCGTGGAGTTGTACATGCTTACTTGACTGAAGTGTCCATTCAGATTCCTTCTGAAATCTGAGTTGTTGCTATTTAGATGACTGTCATGATTCCCAGTCATGGTCACAGGTTGCACCTCAATTCATGAAACTGTTCTATTAGTTTAAAACATGAATTTGACCTGAAGACCTTAGGACCGTGTAAAGGGAACATTTGTTTTCCATGTCTGCTATACATGAATCTTGTACAGCTTTAACTCATGTGCCCTTGGCTGCCTTCACTCAAAGGAGAATAATCCCACCTTTATAAAATGCTAACATGAAGCAAAGATTCCTCATCCCTGGAACGACAGCAGTACATCTTCTTTCGGCTAAGAACCCTGGGGTGTAGTTATGTGGTGAGAAGAAATGGTCTGGGTTGTAGTTTTTGGATGCCAGCATGGCAGCCTTTGACCTTGCTGCTCTTTTTTTTTCTTTGGTTTTTGCAGCCAGCCTGAATTTCTAACAATGGTCATTGACCTACTATATGCAAATTTGATTCAGCCAACAGTTTGATTAAGCAGAATACATATCACTCAAGGCACTGCATGAGAGATGGTGGCAGTCCTGCCGCAAACAATCTATCTAAGTGCTTGTTCTCAGGTACTTAATGTTGAATGTAGTACACTGCAGAAACAGGATTACTTTCATCGTGGTACTCTCCCCATATCCCCAAAATTCAGTGTTGCTTTAATTGCTTGAACCATAGATTGTGAGACCAGCCCAAGTGTCTGCCTGACAGTGCTGCAGTTGTGGACTGCCTCTTCAACAAAGGTTGCATGACAGCAATAACTGGAACTGTCTTTCAGATGTTATTACTCATTGACAGCTGATGCAGCTGCTCACAAAACCAGAGTCAAACTCCTGCAATCCACCTAGGCTGTGAGATCAGTAGTTTCACATAGAACCATTTCAATTTCTATTAATAACTTCAGAAGTATTACTGTATCCCAAAAAAAAGCAGCTACCCCAAGGTTTGAAGCACCAGTTTAAGTCTGTCAGGCAATGCCATGGTTGATCCTTGGAGTAACTGTCTAAGCTGACGCATACTTCCTTCACTTGTGCTTGAAGCTAGAGCACATATCTGTATGCGTCAGTC